CCACTGTACATGCCTGGCCAGGATGTAGCATGTGGTGGGCAGTGCATGCAGACTCATCTGCTCAGGGCTTCTGCAGTGGGCAGAGGTACTGTAGGACAAACTGAGCAGAAAGCATCAGTCTCGTCTCACCAGCAGTTACAAGTGATAATCACAAGAGGAGACCAAAGGTCTTCCTGGGGAAGGTGGAGGGAAACAGAGCAGAGGCGAGAGGGTGGCTGGGCAGCCCAGGACACAGTGCGGCTATGCACTGGCGATAGCAGGTGCCACCAAGCAGCTTGTGGAGGGTCCTGCAAGTGAGCTGGGAGCAACTTTTGGCATGCACATGCACGTAGAAACAAACCACAGATGTACAGAGTTGCTGCCATACTGCTCCTGCCTGGAGAGGAAGGCCCCAATGGCTCTAAGAACACTTGGACAAAAAGCACCCTGTGTTTGGGAAAAAGTAGAGCTAAGATGTTTTGGCACAGTTCAACAAGTCCTGATCATCCCAAACCCTGACCACTCAGGACTGTGCTGCATGCCTGTGATCTGCAGCCACCAGAGAAGTCATCTCTGCCTTGAGGTAGGAGAGCTGGTGGAGTGGCTGTGTGCTGCTGTTCACATGCTGAACTGGCCCAGCCTGCTGCCAGGCATGCAGTGTGACCAGGGAATTGGTTTTTTTTGGTTGCTGGAGTGCAAACCCACAGTTGGTAGCTCAGGGCTCAGCTCTGGGGCAGCTGTGCCACGTCAAGTGCTTTCATTGCAGCCCCTGTATGATGGGTGGGTGACAGACAGAAATAGGGTGCTTGTACCAGTGGCACTCAGGCTGCTCATGCACACTTCACTCAGAGGAACAGCATGCTTAAAACACAGCCTGGTTTTAATATGACTTAATCCATGCTTTCCAGGCATTGAGTGTGCTAATAGACCTGAATGGCTGTGATGAACCTCACCTGTGCCCAAACCCCTCCCTCCATGTGCCATAAGCACTATTTAAGTCCAGCCCAGAGCCCTCACTCCCTACTGTGGAGTAGTGGCTGTGGTTCCTGTTGATGTGGATTCTGTGCTTTTCTGGCTTGATCTCAGCCCTGGCTGAGATTACGGAAGTATCTCACGGCACTCTCCTGCCAAAGACAAGCAGACCTCTCTGAAATACAGGCTGCCAGGACTAATGGTGCCAGCCCACCTGGAGCACCAGGAGCTGTGGTGGTGGTCAGCAGAGCCAGGGCCTCTTGCTGCATGAAGTGCAGGTAAGGGTCAGCTCCTGGGGCTGCCCAGCAGCCTGGGTGAGTGTGTGTTGCTGTCTGCTGGGCTATGGGGAAGGGGCTCATGCTGCAGTATGCTGTCAGCAGCACTGGTAGCATGCTGACAAGCAGGAGCTACTGTGAATGTGCTGTACCCCCTAAACTAGACTAAAAATCCTGTGGAGGGGAAAAGCAGTTATGAAGTTCTGCACAAGGTCTTCAGGAGCAGGCTGCTGTTGGCAGCTGCTTCCCCTGTTACCTGCTGTTTTGGAGATGGCATGGATGGACCAAAGCTTTGGTTGCACCTTCTTTCCCAATGACACTGGGAGCCAGATGCCTCTGTCCTCACTGCTTTAAGATCTGTTCTCTATGTAGTACTTATATCTAGAGCAATGGAAGAGATGCATTGCTTAGGAAGGCAGAGTTCTTTATAAACCTGAGGAGACACCCTAGAGAGTGCCCTCCAGGTATATTTTATAGACCAGGCTGTGCAGGGCACACTCATGATTGTAACATGATCAGTATATTTTTGGAGAAATCTCTGCAAAGCCACAGCTACCATATACACCACGGGCTAACACAACAGGTGCCCAGCAACAGCATGCAGATTCACAGTATCAGTTGTAAGCTGCCAGATGAATGTGCTGAGCCCTCCCTGGGCTCTGGAGGGACTGTTTTGTTGGTTTTTTTTTTTTCATGGGACAACAGTCAGTGCAGCTGCTTGGCCAGTGCACACCCTGCCCAATAGGACAAGACAGCACCAAATGTCTAACTGCAGGCCTGCAGTGCCACTAGTGTTGAAGTCTTAGTGGGACAGATGGGGTCCAATGTGTAGCTCAAGTCCCAGTATCCCCTCCTTGTGCATGCTTAAAAAACCTGGTGCATGCCTCCTCCTTTGGGAGGAACACAGTCATCAATGGCTCCAGAGCGCAAAGAGGGCAGGCACGCTGAGCGGGGACAGCCAGCAGTACTCCACCACACTGTACAGGACGTAGCCCAGCAGCAGACCAAACAGCACATCTGTCATGTTGTGCCTGCCCAGCATGACCCTTGAAATGCTAACAATGAGAACCCAGAGCACCATGAGGACCCGCAGCGGGACGGCCAGCACCAGGTGGCGCAGAACGAAGCGGCAGACCAAGGCAGCTCTGGTGGCATGGCCCGATGGGAAGGAGTACTTGTCCACTGAGATGGCGACGAACATGTCCATCTTGTTGTGGGTGGGCCGTGGCCGCTTGACAATCCCTTTCACCACTGCCACCATCACGAGATCCAGCAGCAATGCTAGGAGACAGTAACAGTGAGTGAGCAAGGTTTGGGTTTTGTATTTGTTCATTTTGATGTTTTTTTGGGTGGTTTTGCCCTCCATGGAAAACAAACCAAGAATCAAAGCAAAGCCATTAGCTAAGGAGAAAGCACTTGGCTACCAAAACAAGCTAAGAGAAGGCAGTATTTCCCATGGCTACAATACCCAGGCAGGGAAAGCATCCCAATGCTTGGCCTTTTCCAGCATAAGCATATCTTCAATCTTTGCTCTTGCTGCATACAGCCCTTGTGCAATGCCAGATCTCTGCCTGCTACAGCCAACAGCAGGTCTCTGTCTGGCTTGTACCCAAGGGCTTTTCTGTGTAAAATCTAATCTTGCTGTGACTCGGGGCTCAAACCAATCCTTAACCTGAGGCAACAGAAGAGTTAATAATCTCCAAAATGCCCTGACAGACTGTGCTGAGTCAGCACTGGTTTGCCTGCCCTGGTGGGTAGGGTTCAAACTCATCTGCATGAATGATCTACCCTGCCCTGGTGGATACGGGTCAAACTGAGCTGCATGAATGATCATTTCAAGCACTTAGCCACAACTCAGTGTGAGCAGCTCTGAGCTTGTGTGGTGCCAGGGCCCCCACAGTCTAAATTCTCCCTGCTGCTGGGGGAAATGATGCCAGAAAGTTAACCACACTTTGGTTTTCAATAGCTTAATAAAGGATGATTTAAAAAATGGTGGCTTGCCCTCAGAAAGCTAAAGGCTGTTACAGTAGAAATCTGAGGTGAAGGATCTGTGAGGAGTGTTGAGTGGGTATTTGGCAAGAGCAGCTTCTCCTGTAGGGCAGAGAGTGCTTTCTCCATCCCTGTTAGTTTGGTTAGCACAGTGTTCAGAGCCAGGGGTGTTTTCTCCAAGGAAGTCTTGTGAGAGAGACTGACTTCTGCTTGTCCTAAGGCTGTTTCTGGACAACAAATTTGGTGGTCACTTCAGTTCATTTCCTTTGGTTAATCATTTAACAATCTCCCCTCCATGTAAACTTTGTTCAGTTGCTTTTTTTAGATATGCATGTTGGACATTAGGGAACACTCCTTTCCCACATGGGTGCTGCAGCTCTGGGACAGGGCTCCAGAGAGGTGGGTGGCTCTGACCCAGAGGGTTCAGGGCCGGACAAGGCCCTGGTACTGGGACAGACCTCCTCAGAGAAAAGGTTAAGTTGGAGGCTTCCAGGTCCCTTCCCACTGCTCTGCTTTGGGACTGTAATTTAACCATGTGCTGCTAAATGAAAAAGGTGCACAAAACCATGTATTTCCTACCAAGCAAATTTCAATTCAAATTACAAATGTGAGATACTAATTATTTGCAACTTAAAGAGTAAGAACTAGGAACCTGAAAAGGTCTGTTTGCTCTGGAGCTACTAGTTTCTAAATGAGCAAAAATGAATAATTGAAGTACACCTAGTAGGACAGGATGCTAGGGGGTGGGGGGAATATTACAACATTAAAATGCATGCTTTACATCATGTTTCCTCACTGGCTGATACAGAACAATCCATGCAGGCACTACCTGCAGGGAGTCCAAGGGTGTAGACATTTGTGTGGCAGAGCAGCTTTTCAGGGAATGGGGTGGTGTCTCAACACTAGGTAGCTGCACCTCGAATGCGCTGTTCTAGTAAGTTGAAGAGGTAAAAGTGAGTTCAGTTCCCTAAAAGTTTTGTGCAACTGCAGAAGCACTTTAGCTATCAGGAGTTTCACTGTGTGTGGTTGCAGCTGTGATGGATGAGCCATACCCATGCCACCAGGCACCCCAGATGAGCCAGCACCAGTTACTCAAAATCATCTGGATTCCTCAGGGCTACAGGAGGACTGAGGTTTGCTCAGTTCTGCCCTATCCCTCAGGTCCCATCCTCCCCCCTCGGCTGCAGCCAGCCCCTGTCTGCAATGCCCCTTGGTGAGTCCCCAGCCTCACCGAAGAGCAGGTTGAGCAGCACCTCTCTGGCCGCTGAGCTGTCGCTCTGGCAGAGTCCGTAGAAGGTGCCGAGCAGCCAGGGGATGCCATGCCCTGAAACCTCGATGACCTTCATGAGGGGGCGGGCGCTGCCCCAGGCCGAGCCCTCTCCGGCGCAGACGCCCAGGCGCTTGGAGGCCCAAAGGTCGATGGCGAGCAGGGAGCTGAGGGCGATGCCCACAAAGGAAGGGTTCAGCTTCATGCAGTCCTCCTCGGGCATCGGGGCCGCCG